CTGTGACAAGCGGCTCTGGACGCACATTGACCTGAGCCGTCGGAAATCCATCACTCCCTCCATGCTGAGCGGCATCATCCGCCGGCAGCCGGCCAGCCTCGACCTAAGCTGGACCAACATCTCCAAGAAGCAGCTCATGTGGCTCCTGAACAGGCTACAAGGTGGGGTGCACGCGGGGCCCGGGGAGGGACGGGAGCCGGCCCCTCTTGGTCTCTGTAGGGCTGGGGAAAGATGCCTGGTCTCTCGGGAAGGATGGAGGGGGGGAGTTTGGAAGCGGGGTGGATGAAGGGAAGGAGGAATAACCAGAATTTCCGGGCCGTAACCTGGAGGAGGCACAGAGTGTCAGGATTCTTGGGTTGGCCGAGGGCTCGTTGCTCATTCTAGGGGCAAATCTGCACCTAAACAGTTCCGCTTTAGATTGCGGCAACCGAATCTCCCTCCTCTCAGAACGGTTATCCAACACAGAATAGACTGTTTCTTTCTGACATGCCGGTTTCTGTGCGCTGGAATCTTTTAGTCTAGTGCAGAGGTCATTTCTGGGGGGATCGCGGGGGATCGCCGTTCCCCCAGGTGAGGTACGGGGGGGCACATGACGAAGTCCCGCCCCCTGCTTCCGGCCGCCCCGCTTCCAGCCCTCATTCAGCCAGGAGGAGGAAGCCCCAAATGCGGGTTTCCCACTTCAGAAAGGGCTCCATCGAGCAAGGCGGTGGGCGTTCCATTAATGGAGCTCCCCAGGGAGTCTTGTTTCCTTGGTTAAGTGTGCGGACTCTAATCTGGGAGAACCGGGTTTGATTCCCCACTCCTCCACTTGCACCTGCTGGCGTGACCTTGGGTCAGTCACAAGCTCTGGCACAGCTGTCCTGGAAAAGAGCAGTTTCTTTCAAGAGTTCTCTCAGCCCCACCCACCTCACGGGGTGTCTGTTGTGGGGAGGGGGAGGGAGAGGAGTTTGTAAGCCGCTCTGAGACTCCCAAGTGAAGGGCGGGGTATAAATCCAATCTCCTCTTCTTCTCTAAAAGTCAGGCCCAGGGACCGGTTTTCCTAACCTGGAACGGCCCCCCGTTTGTTTCCCCCCCAGCAGAGCAGATAATGGCTCTCCAGGGCCGTTTCAGGTCGGGGAAGCAGCATGGTGAAGAAGGCTTTAAATCCCAGCCCCACGGTATGATACCAGTCTGCATCTGATCCCTATTTGCCTCGTATTTCGAGAGAGAGAAAAGAGTGCTGGGCACCCTGATCCCCATGCACCCGTGGGGATAGAGTTTCTGGGTACACCCAGGAGGGTGTCACCGATTCCCCCTCCCTGAGCCGCACCTCACGCTGTTCTAAAGGTTCCCCCAGCACTTAGATGCAGCTTATCCTTGACCTCGAAGGTGTGCAGCGTTGCCCTGGTGCATCCACAGCCTTCTGGGTCCTGGCTCAGGTGTTGTGTCGGTAGACGCCAGGGGAGGGTTAGCTTGGGAAACAGATGAGGAAGAAAGCGAAGAAGTCTCCCGTGAGGAGCGGGAAGGACTGGACTGAAGAGCGAGGACTTGTAGCACCCACGAAGAAGGGTTAGCTGAGGAGGATAGGACCTCCGAGGGGGCAGTCGATTAGTGGTGTCGGGGGCAAGACGAGGAGGAGAGGAGCAGCCCGGGTGAGGGGAGGAGCGAGAGGCCGGGCTTCCCTGAGGCTCCCTCAACCCGTGTCTCCTCCTTGCCTGGCCAGGCCTCAAGGAGCTCATCCTGACAGGCTGCTCTTGGTGCTCCGTGTCGGCTCTCAGCACCGCCAGCTTCCCCTCTCTGCGGCTCCTGGACTTGCGCTGGATCGAGGACGTCAAGGACTCGCACCTCCGTGAGCTGCTGCTGCCTGCCACAGACGCCAAGCCGGGTAACGCTGGGTCTACCCCACAGAGTTGCGGGCAGGGGGGGACACGCAGACGGCACGTGGGGACATGTGGAGTGAACCGTTTCCGGGCACGCTTTCTCCCTCTGTGGCGGAGCCTGCCTCCAGTTTCTGCCCCGTGTGTCAACATACAGCTCGTGTTGTCGGAGAGGAAAGGCTTTTGTCCCCAGTCCTTGCAGTCGGAGGGTTGGTTGTGTTATTAGTGACCTGGAGCAGGTGCCGGCGGGTGGGCTGGAGGGGGAGGAGTGCTTCCCCAAGCAGTAGAGCTTCACGGCCAGAGCCGTCGTCTTAAAAATGGCTCTTTCCTCCCGCTTTTTCTTTTCCACGTTGCGGATTTTTTTGCTTGTGTGTGTAAAGTGCCGTTGAGTCACAGTTGACTCGCCTCCCCCTGCAGAATCTCCCCGGAGGTCTCCCTTCCGCAGCACTGCCCCCCCGATTAGCTTCCAGGCTCTGACGAGATTGGGCCGTACCCTGCCGCCTTCCCTCGAGAGCCGGTTTGGTGTGATGGTTAAGAGCACGGACTCTAATCTGGGAGAACCGGGTTTGATTTCCCCACTCCTCCACGTGAAGCGGCTGGTGTGACCTTGGGTCAGTCACAAGCTCTTTCAGAGCTGTTCTCTCAAGGGCCGTTCTCGAGAGAGCTCTCTCAGCCCCGCCTACCTCGCAGGGTGTCTGTTGTGGGGAGGGGAAGGGGATTGTAAACTGCCCAGACTCCTTCGGGTAGTGAAGGGCGGGGGGTATAAATCCAATCTCCTTCTTTTAAGGAAGCAAAACTTCTGGCGAAATTCCCCCTCACCCACTCCAACTATATTTATTCATACCTTTTTAACCTGCTTTCCTCCCCAATGGGGACCCAAAGCAGTTTACAGCCCTGCTCTCCCATCTCCATTTTATCTTTGCAACAGCCTGGCGAGGTAGGTTGGGCTGAGGGTGTGTGTCTGGCCCTGTCTCCCCTGGCAGAGTGGGGATTCGAACCCGGGTCTCCCAAACCCTTCTCCCACACTAACCACTATGCCACCCTGGGGATTAATTTAACTTGCCCTCTTCACCGGAGGGTGAGGGAAGGAGCAGGTAAGGTTGGGAATTACCAAATTACTTCTGAAGAAGTGAGCCGTGACTCCTGAAAGCTCCCGCCCTGCCACATATTTTGTTAGTCTTCAAGGTGCTCCTGGACTCTTGCTCTTTTCTACTACCAAATGACTGTTTTTATAAATGCCAGAGGACTTTTTTTCCTCAGAGAATGAATGCCCTTCCCCCTTCCCTCCCCCAAAAGACAGGAAAATGTTTTATAGAAAACACGGCATCCATGTATGTGTATCAGTGTTCCCTCTAAGATGAGTTAGTGTGAGCTAGCTCACAGTCTTTTAGCCTCTGACTCACACATTTTTGTCTTAGGCTCAGGAAGGATGGCTCCAGAGCAAACTAATTTATGCAGTAGCCAAATCACCTGCTCACAACTTTAGTTCCAGTAGTTCACAAAGTAGAATTTTTGCTCACAGGACCCCATAGCTTAGAGGGAACATTGGTGTGTATATAGGTAAAGGTAAAGGTTTCCCTTGCTCGAAAGCCAGTCGAATCCGACTCGAGGGGTCGGTGCTCATCTCCATTTTTAAGCCGAAGAGCCAGCACTGTCCGGAGACTTCTCCATGCACATGTGGCCGGCATGACTAAACACCGAGGCGCACGGAACGCTGTTACCTTCCCACTGAAGCGGTGCCTGTTTATCTACTCTCAGATTCTTGCACTCAAACTGCTAGGTTGGCAGGAGCTGGGGCCAGAGACGGGAGCTCTGTGTGTGTGTATATACACACACTTATCTGTATTTATTGAAACTACTGCAAACAGCAATAGCAGTCTGAATTCTCTTTCTGCGTGAGAGTAACATAAACTTCCGTACAGACAGAACCAGGGAATAGCGACAGGGTGCTGCACGGCTGCCTTGGAGAATGAGAGGGAGAGAGACCCTTTGCTCCATAGCAACAAACCGAGTCAGTAACCAGGGGCGGGGCCTCAGCAGCCCCGGAATCGCCTGCACTGCAGCATTTAAGGGCACATTTCAGAAACGGCCCAACTTCTTCACGTTTTCTCGTTTGTCACCTGCTCACCTCTCTCCCGCGTTGTGCTGAGGGTCCCCACCCCCACCCCTCCAGGTCCCCTCTCCCCGCCCTCATCCCCCAGAGACATCAGGAGATTTCTGCACAGTCTTGATCAGTGGCTTTCCACGGGCCAGACGAGAAAGAGGGGCTGGGTGGAGGGCAGTGTTCCCTCTACGCTGTGGAGTCTTGTGAGCAAAAATTCCACTTTGTGAGCTCCTGGCGTTAAAGCTGTGAGCAAGCAATTTGGCTACTGCATACATTTGTTTCCTCTGGAGCCATCCCTTCCTGAGCTGAGACAAAAATGTGTGAGCCAGAGGCTAAAAAACTGTGAGCTAGCTCACACTAACTCAGCTTAGAGGGAACACTGGTGGAGGGCTCTGCCGTTGGGTCCTGCTTAGGCAACTCGGCCACCCGTTGCGCCAAATGCCGCCCAGTAGCCACATTTGGTGGCCCATCAGGCGCGTGCTGGTTTTGCTCCCTGGCCCGCAGAACCAAGCAGGGTGCTGGTGCACATGACAAGCTGCAGTGCGCTGCATTTCCGATGGCGGCTCACAAAGCGCAATTTTGCCATTGTTAGTCTTTTCAGCATCTTGAGGGGAAAGACTGTGGACAGCCGGCCTGTCCCTGCCCTGTTTTGGAGAGGCATGGCTTTGGGGACAACACCATCGCAGCAACGCTCCCTCTAAGTGGTGGAGTCTTGTGAGCAAAAATTCTACTTTGTGAGCTGCTGGCATGAAAGTCGCGCGTGAGCGATTTGGCGGCTGCATAGATTATTTTATTTACTTATTTTATTCTATTTCTATCCCGCCCTACCCCACAGACGGGCTCAGGGCGGCTCAGATTAGTTTGCTCTGAGCCATCGTTCCTGAGTTAAGGCAAAAATGGGTGAGCCGGAGGCTAACAAACTGAGTTACCGCACACTAACTCAGCGAAGAGGGAACACTGCATCATACATGCACTGTCACTGTCCTTCCCTCTCCCTGGGCCACAGATGAGATGCCGACCATTACAGGAATCTTTAGAGATCCTGCTTCGGGTGCCCCCTCCTAGCAACCCAGGACAGGGTCTTCTTGGTCATGGCACCAAAACTCTGGCATTTGGCATTCCCTCAGTGATCCCTCCTGCCTGCCCAGTGTTTCAATTGTTGTTTTTAATGCTTTTGTAGGTATTTTAGCTCTGGTTTTAATGATGTGTCTTTGCTTGTTTTAGTGGTATTTTAAGATGTGATTTTTTTATTTTTTTTTGCTATGTCTGTTTAATTTATTAGCCGCCTCAGTGGCCCTCATGAGGACAGAAAGGTGGGGTGTAAATTCTGCAAGAGAAATAAATAGATAAAGCGGCCCAAGCCAGGCCTTTTTATCTTTCACAATAATAATTTTCATCCAGCATCTTTCAGCAGGCAATGAAAACCTAATGCCCGAAGCAGACCGTCGGACCTGGTTCATCCCCGGCTCATTCTCGTTCCCCTTTCTCCCGACCCCCCCAGGCCAGACCGACAGTCGGGGCCGGCTCCAGAATGTCTCTGAGCTGCGTCTCTCCGGGCTGGACATCACGGACTCCTCGTTACGTCTGGTGATCCGGCACACCCCCCAGCTTGCCAAACTGGACCTGAGCCACTGCAACCACGTGGGCGACCAGTCTGTTAACCTGCTGACCGCTGCTAACTCCCCGCTCCGAGAAACCCTCACCGAGCTCAACCTCGCCGGTGAGTTGGGAATGCCTTTCGCCCCAGACTGTGGGTCTCTCGATCCCGCCCCAGAGGGTTTCCTCTCCTGCTGCCTGGCTGTGGAACTCTAGCCCCCCCACATACACTCTTCACCATCCCTGCTAACGCCTTTCGGACTTGTGCTTCCGTTCCGGGCAAGCGCTCCTATCTTTTGCCCTCCGTGAAGATAGATTCGGGTGGGCGGCCGTGTTGGTCTGAAGCAGCAGACCAGAGTTGGAGTCCAGCGGCACCTTTAAGACCAACAAAGTTTAATTCTGGGCAGTGTTCCCTCTAAGCTGAGTTAGTGTGGGCTAGCTCACAGGTGTTTAGCCTCTGGCTCACGCATTTTTGTCTTAGCTCAGGAAGGAGGGCTCCAGAGCAAACTAATTTATGCAGCAGCCAAATCTCCTGCTCAATATGTTAATGCCAGTAGCTCACAGAGTAGAGTTTTTGCTCAGAGAGCTCCATAGCTTAGAGGGAACATTGATTCTGGGTATAAGCTTTCGGGTGCCTGGACTCCAACTTTGTTCTGTTTCTTTTGCCCTGTGACTCTCCGGAAGCCCGCCTTCCGACCCAGAGGAAGCCATTTTGAAGCAGACACCCGAAGTCTGTTTTCGGTCCATCTCTGGCCAGATCCAAAAAACCTGCCAGGGGAGTTCCTCATTTTAGAGACGCTGCCCTTGGCAGTATTACCACTGTGCAGTCCTGACTTCATCTCAGGACTTTTCAGGTTTTATTTTTTTTTAATTTCATTTTATACCCCCACCGTGCTCCCCAGTGGGGACCCAAAGCAGCCCATGTCCTCCTCCTCCTCCTCTCTTCCATTTTACCCTCAGAACAACACCCCTGTGAGGTAGGTTAGGCTGAGAGTGTGTGACAGGCCCAAGGTCACCCGATAAACTTCCACAGCAGAGTGGGTATCGGAACCTGGGTCTCCCGAATCCTCGTCTGACACTCTGACTGCTCCTCCGTATTGGTTCGTCTGTTTCAGGGGTGGCCAAACTTGCTTAATGTAAGAGCCACATAGAATAAACTTCAGATGTTTGGGAGCCACAAGACAGGAACAAATATTACACGTTTTTACTGGGAAATATAGAGATTTGCATTTTATTAACATTAAACGAGACTGCCAAAAACGATAAAAGCAGATATTGATAGTGATATTTATTTGGCCAATGAACACTCTGACTGCTCCTCCGTATTGGTTCGTCTGTTTGTCCTGCTTCCGAACTGCTTCTGTTCACGTCTGAGAGAGACGGAACGGCAGCCAGAAAATTACCTTCAACGATGTATCAGTTGGCCATAGATTTCTAGGAATTCTGCTTTGGGAGTGGTGAGAATTTTTGGATAGCGGTCTCTAGCATTCCCTCCCCACACCCCGAAATGGTCTTCGAAATTCCTTGGTTGAAAGAGTGACTTTAAATCTGTGGTAAAGGTAAAGGTCTCCCCTGCTCGAAAGCCAGTCGAGTCCGACTCTAGGGTTGCAGTGCTCATCTCTGTTTCCAAGCCGAAGAGCCAGCGCTGTCCAAAGACGTTTCCGTGGTCATGTGGCCGGCATGACTAAATGCTGAAACGTACGGAACGCTGTTATCTTCCCACCGAAGTGGTACCTATTTATCTCCTTGCAATTTCTTGCTTTCGAACTGCTAGGTTGGCAGGAGCTGGAACGAGAGACGGGAGCTCACTCCAGCCATGCCAGCCCTCTTGAAATCTCCGTGTGCTTGCCGTCATTCTCACTGACACACTAGACCAGTGGCTCCCAAACCTTTTCCAGACAAACACCCCCCTTGGTCCTATAAATGCATCCCTTGTGCCCCCCCAAAAGCATTTGGAAGAGCACTGAGGAAGGTAATAACAATAAAATTCAGACCAGGAATAGTTAATTCCACATTTATTCAAAATCCAGTTAACGTTTTTTGTGTAAATTATTCAGCAAAATCGATGACCTCGATCCAGTGATACTAGCTTTTCAAAGTCTGATCGCCATTTAGCAAGAATCTTAGATACCTTGTTTAGTAACGACTTCACTGTTCAATAAATTCTTAATGTGATGGATGGGCTTGATGAAGTGATACCAGTTTCCTCACGTCTGGTTCAGAGTCTTAGTACTCTGGAGTTACTGTCTTTCCTTGGAGAGACTTCAGATGACCACATTAAAACCACGTTCCACCAAATAGTATGTTGGAAATACAACAAGGAGCTTTTTATCTACTGTCTGTTGTTCAGGACAGTGATCTGACATTTCCTTCTGCCACCCAAACTCCTGGTGTGGCTTCTTAAACGTTGGCTTCAGCGGAATGTCGTTTTGTCGCTCACTTAGTGAACCCGAATTCCTCAATATATGAAAATGGACTTCTTCACCCAATCTGAAATTCCCATCGAAAGGCGATCCGCGAATTACTCAAATTCTTCGTGCAGCGCACCCAGCTGGCCACGAGTGGCGTATTGACTAAAAAATTCCAATCGCTTCCACCAGATTTCAGCACTGCGCAGAGGCAGGGACTTGGAGCATCATTTCCCAGCACAGAGCTGTAATCCCACCTCCTCCACTGCATGTGACAATCAGCCTATGAAACATGTACAAATACAGACAAATAAAAAGGTGTTGGTGTGGGACGTAATATAGGTTGATAGAAGACCAATTAAATGTCCAGTTTTAAGTTAATACATTTACATTAAGTTACCTTTTAAATTAAATATTTGCATGGCACAGCTAATTACCAATAAATAAGAACGTAAGAGAAGCCAATGTTGGATCAGGCCAGTGGCCCATCCAGTCCAACACTCTGTCACACAGTGGCCAGAAATACCAGGTGCCATCAGGAGGTCCAGCAGTGGGGCCAGGACACGTAGAAGCCCTCCCACTGTTGCCCACCCCCCAGCACCAAGGTGCCATCAGGAGGTCCAGCAGTGGGGCCAGGACACTAGAACCCTCTCACTGTTGCCCCCCCCCCTTCAAGCACCAAGAAGACAGTGCATTACTTGCCTCAGATCAAGCGTTCCTATCTATACCGTGCGACTAAAAGCCACTGATGGACTTCTGCTCCATATGTTTATCCAGTTCCCTCTTGAAGCCGTCCATTCTTGTAGCCGCCACCACCTCCTGTGGCAGTGAATTCCATGTGTTAATCACTCTTAGTTACTGTACATCTTTTTAGTCATATTAATTAAAAAGTTGAAGATTTCAGCTTCAACCTACGATATTTTGCAAAAACACACATTCCCACAAACAAAATCAACTGCTAAGGATGATTTTTCTGTGGCTTTTTTGGAATGTAAGCTAATAGGCTCAATACACCGTAAATTTGACATCTCCATATTCAGTTCAAAAGAGAGAAAATTTTTTATAGATTATAATTCCCAGAAAAAACCTAACTTATAGGCGTGAGTGCGTGACATTTTATGCGCTCAAAAATAAATGTATGATCTGATCTGATTTTGTAGCTGGAAAATGAATATACAGGAAAGAATATTACATGAATAATATTTTTTACACAATCTTACTGGCGAAAACATAAGGCTGAAGGAAATTTGCAGCATAAAATATTTATATGTAACTACTTACCAAACACGTCCAAACCTTTGCCTACCACAGATGTACAGCAACTAATTTATAAGAAAATCATTAGCTGTTACCAGTAATTATGACGTATAACAACTCAGAATCGTAAATGTACACGTGTCCAAAGGAAATAACTTTGAAAGCAGTAAGGGCAGTAAAACTTAAAACAGGAAGCAAGGAAGGTGTTTCACTCGAGGCTGTAGCCTGGTCAGTCATAAGTCATTTGAGGAAGTTCTACCCCATCTTGCCCTGACACTTTGTTGTTGTACTGTATTGTTTTATGGTTTTAGACTGTTTTATCTGTTTTGATTCTGGCATTTGTGCCTCGTTGTTTGGGGGTCCCTGGGTTTGGAAAACCTCATGCAGCACTTCCGTGTCTTTATCTTTTTTTGATCTTCACCTCTTTCAGATTCTCTGCCCTCCTGAGGACTAGATACTTGCCTGTCCTTTTGCTTGTGTAGCATTAGTGATCTCCTGGATAGCCTGTGTGGGGAGGACTGAGGCTTTCCCCCACACCCTGAGCTCACCATCTCCTTCCCCATAACGCAGGTTCCCCACACGGTTACCCCTACACAGCCGTGGAAGACGTTTGACTCACCCGCTCCTTCTTTTCCTCGCAGGGTGCAACCGGCTGACAGATCAGTGTCTGCCCCTTTTCCGCCGCTGCCCTCGCCTCTCCCTCATCGACCTGCGCTCTTGCCACCACGTCACGCCCGAGGCCTGCGCCCGCTTTGCCGAGGACTCTGTCTCCAACAGCACCTCCGTCCCTCCCGCCCCTGGCTCGGTGCCCCCCGGGCCTCCGTTCCGTTGCCCCGAGGAGAAATTGCTGCTGAAGGACAGCTAATACCCGCCCTGGGGTGGAGGCGTGAGGAGACTTGGCCTCGCCAGTCGGACGACCAGACCGGACACGGACTCTGAGAGAACCTTTTTACTTAAAGCCATGCACTGAACCGGAGTGGCGTCTCCACCCCCTTTATGTGCGCAGCAGAGAGGGTGGAGGGCTGTGCTCCCCCCATCTGGCCTGTAAGGGGGGGGCAGGCCACCTCTCGCTCCACCCCCGCGCCCTCCCCCCCTCGTTCCAGGATGGAGCCACGGAGTAAGTGGGGCCCGGGGTAGCCTTGTCGCTTTACAATGTTGGGGAAGGTGTGTTCCTCCCATCATGCACTGCGCCGTTTCTCCCCCTCTCCATTAGTCCGTGCCACAGGTGGTACCACACACTTTGGGGGGGGATTGGGGGGGAGACACCCAGCCTTGAAATGCTGGCTCACAAGGTAGGCAGCTTATTGTATGGTGTCGGACTCTCTCTCTCTCTCTCTCTCCTCACCCCCCCCTCCACACATCTGCACTCTAATCTCATCCATCTGCCCTCCCCCACATGCTGCCTTGATATTTCTGAAAGCTGTGTGAATGTGTTTCTGTCGGTCTCTCATCCCTTCTCTTTCCGCCATCTCTTCCCAACAGTTTGATTTTTCAGTCCGGTTTTAATGGGAGGGGGGAAGGGGAGCCAGGCAGCTGATACTTATATGCCCCCCTACCCCACCTCATTAGACGCCCACTGAAAATTCTGTCCACCTCCACTGCAGGGTGCGAGTTACCGCGTGTGCCCAGGTTCTGCTCCGTGGAGCCCCAGGAGGAGATGTTCTTTGTAGAAACGCAGTGCCGCTCACCATCTGGGTGCATGCGCCGCAAGTCGTCTCCGCTCCCGCCCCGACCCTCTGTGACCTTCTCTCTGTCTTCCCACCCCCACCCATGGTGGCTGATCGTGTTGACATGCACGCCCTGGGATCTTGACACGTGTGCCTAACCCGTGTCCTCATTGCGCTCGGACCACCAAAACCTTCAGACGCACACACTGCGGTCTGTATGAACACTGTCTCTGCTGCTGTATTGTTTACACATGCAATCAACCTGCCCACGCACACGACATGCGCGCGCAGGCCCCCGCTCTCCAGTGAATGTGCAACATCCAATCCTCAATCCTCCCGTCCTTCGTCCCCAACTGCCCCTTTTCTGCATACGTTCAGAAGTCTTTCTTTTTGTACGCACAGTGTTATATGAGTGCACTCCAAAAATGCTTCTGTATGTGGAGACAATATTCCTCTTTTGTTGCTCTGTTGACATGCATCATGCACGTGTGTGCAACCGGGGCCGGGTGCTGGGAACTGGGCCGTGGGTCCTTTTGTTCTCCGTATGGCACAGCTCGATGCTCTTGGCAAACAGGGTACCCACCTGAGTGGTCCAGAGCAGTGGGTTTGCACAGCCCCACAACCTGCCCGAGTTCTGCTCCTGGCAGTAAAGGTGACCAGACACAGGAGGAGACCGGAGGTTTCAGTGGGCAGAATTCTGGACTGCACCATTCCAGACTTCACAGGGGTGTGCATGGAGCCTTCTTTTTGAAGGCCTTCCCCCCACACACACACCTCCAGCAGAAAACTCCCCAGCATGAGTTCCACTAACACTTGATGGAGGGAGGGCCATGTTAAATGCCAGGAATGTGTTAATGTGGGGAGGCCTATTAAAAAATAACACACTCTGCCCCCCGCAGTTTGAAGTGGTACCACCCAGAGTTCTGCCGCCTCGGGCTACTCCACACCTGCAGTAGAATTGAGGTGGTACAGTCCTGAGATGGCAGGGATGGGACTGTGCCGCTTCAGACTGCAGGGGTGGAGGTAAAATCCACCCTTTGAACACTTCTGGAATGTTTAAAAACTCCTTGTAAACAGAAAGCCAGCCTAGCAAGAAAAGGGCTCAGGCAAGAACCTCTTCTTTGATGAGCTCAGTCTTCTGTTGGTCGGAGTTTTTGGGTTCAGTGGTCTGAAGAGGGGCTCGGACCCTGCGTTTCCCTGTACGTGGAGACCAGCCCTTACAGGACAACTGGGCGGGTGGCTTCTCCTGTGTCCTTTGTGGTGTTGCAGCCCCTAGGCTGCGCTGCAGAAGGGAACGTGAAAAGGACCCCTGAGCCGGTGCCAACACCAGGGCAATCGGGAACAGCAGTCATGCACCGTTTCCTCCGCCCCACACCCAGACATGCTCTCCCCTCCCGTACAAGCGCATCCTTGCACATCTGTGTCCCCCTACCACACGCACGCCCCTCTTATATAGTGTGCCCCATGTGAAGTCCCTCTACCCAGAATTCCCATCTCGCAAGGCGGGACTTCAGCCCCACTGCCTTGTAAACTAGTCTCCTTAGACCCTCCCTGCCCGCCTCATCTCCTGGTTTTCTTCCTTTCTCACCCTTTCCCTCCCCTAGATGATGCATGGGTGTGTGCGTGGGTGTGGGTCAGCTCTCTTTACCATACTTTACATCTCCCCCCCCCCTTTGTACAAGAAGCATCTGTATGAGCATTGGGGTGGGGGGTGCAGGGGGAGACGCCTAGCTCAGCTCACCATCTCCCTGTACACTTCTCAGAAATCGTTCTAAGCCCATCTTGGAAGGAGACGCAACTGTCTCCTCCAGCCTCTCTGCTCCAACCCTTCCTTCCCCTTTTACTGATTTTTTTTTTGGGGGGGGGGGTTCCATAAAGCTTTAATAACCACTTTTTGGAAACAGGGTGGTGGTGGTGGGGGAACGGAGCAGAGGGCCACATCACTCGGCCAGCACGCCTGCTTAGCTTGGCCTCGGGGGTAGGCTTAATTCCGCCCCGGATTTTGCAGACTTGAACCCCTCCTCCTGGTGTGGTTGGTTTCCCCCCTTTCTTTCTAAAGAGGGGAGAGGGGATTACTGTAGAAAAAAAGAAAAGCGGGAAACGAATGTTCCGGGCCAAAGGCGCCTCTGTCCTCGGCCCCTTTCCCTCCTTGAATGGGGAAGGGGAAGGGGGTTCAGTGGTTAAGGCAGCTCTTGGTCCCTCCTGTGTCTCCTCCCCACCTTCCCCAGGGGAGGAGGCGCAGCCACGGCTCCCTCCTCCGGGCGCCTGTCTCTGCCCGCTTGGATCACCCCCTTGGATCCCACCACTGCTGCCCCCCACCACCACCATTTGGCTTCCTCCTCGGCCCCTCAGAGGTGAGGATGGCCTTCCTCTGAGTTTCAGAGCGGCAGGTTGTCCAGCTTCACACTATCTAGAGCGACCCCCCCCTTCCCTTACAAACATGTACCAGAGCCTGGTCCCTTTCTCTCCCCCCCCCATCACCCATCTACTTCAGACTTCATCCCAATCCCCGCCCCACCCCCCCAGGGCTAGAGCATATTGCCCCCACAGATGCGTTGGGAAAGAGGGGTGGGGGTGGGGAGGTGGCATGAGATGGATTTTAAAATTGGTAACCATATCTCTCTTTTTTAATATATATACTTGAACGTTCATTTATTACTAAAGCATTACTTGAAAAACGCAGCGATAGGTTGTGGAAATCGGAGGCGAGGTTTTTCGGTGTCTATTTTTTTTTTTTAATATTTGTTTTGAGGTTCTGTTGGGTGCTCTCTTTTTTTATTTGTTTTAAGAAAACTTTGGTTCCGTTTCTTCGTTGGTCTTTTGTTTTTGTTTTTTTAATTTTTTTTTTATTTGTCGGATAAAGGAGAAGAAGAAGAACAATCCTTCCCTCGCTCCATTAGCCAAAGAGGGCCAAGGTGTTTGATTCCCTTCCCCTGTTCTCTGGAGGGTTTTGTTTGGGGGGGGGGTGTTCCGTTCACGCCGGAGTTTCCAGCTGCCGACGTCCTTAGCCATCCATGAGAATTCTCCGAAGAAGTATTAAAAGATTTGGGAGAAGAAGATTGGAAAACGGCGGGAGGGAGGCTTTTCTGACCAAGCGATGGAGGTATGGTTTGGTATCAGGATGTACTGTACGGCTTCCTCCCTCCCCCTTTATTTTTGTGCCCCCACCCTCCCCGAATAGATACACTCCATGGTGCAAACAAGGGGGGTGGGCCCCAGCCAACGCACTCCCCCCCCCCCGCCACCAATCTTTTACAAAAGAGACTCGGACCCTTAACCAACTCCGGGTTTCTCTGCGTGCTTTATGGGGGGGAGCAAAAAGGGTAATACAAAAGGAGGAGATTCACCCTCCGCCAACCACAGTGACCCCATCTTCAGCTTTCCTTCTATAACCAAGGGTAGTGATACGCCGGGCAAGAAGGTGCTGTTTCAAACATATCTTTTAGGGTTGTGCTTTTCTTTTGTTTGTTTAATTTTTGATCGATGTTTTAACTGAAAAAAAAGAAAAAGAAAAATACCTCAGGTTTAAAAAAGAAACGGTGGAGAGAGGGGGAAAAATTAGTTGAGGATATTCATCCACGGATGCGTTACCACAGACTGCTGCTTTGGGAAACGTGGATGTGCGCAGGGGGGGAGGGATCGGGGCCAGGGGAGTCAGACTTGGAGGGGGATCCGCGCCCAGGCGGAGAGGAGGCCACAGAGATAAGCCCCACCCCCTCCGGTCACTCAAAAGATATAAATCTATCATTGTACATTCACAGGACAACTATCTCAGACACACAGGGATGACAAAACCCCACTTTCCCCCCTCCCACCCCCAAGGACAGATGTAGCCTCTCGTAAAATACGTTCCAAGGGATTTTTCTCCCAGGTATACCGTGGGACATATGGACGGACACCCACCCATATACACATGCCCCCCCCCCCCAAGTTAGTGGACCAAAGCTATATTCCTTCCTCCCTGCCGAATCTCATCCTCTTGGCTACCAGTTTGATGGCACATGCAACCCCATTTTTTCTCCTCCACACCTATCCATTGAGACAAAGACAGCCGGGGGTGGGTCGGGGAGAAAGCAAAAGAAAGAAAAATCCAGTTTGGAGCAAATGCGTCTTTTGTGAAGTTCAACCTGCAAAGCTCCCCCTCCCAGCCCCATGGGACTGCTCGGTTGATGGGGGGGGGACGCGAGACCAGGTTCCGATCTGAATTTCAGGGGTTCTATTATTGTACAATAACTGTTTGCTATATAAAGAAAAGGAAAAAAAAAGAGAGAGAAAATGTGTTTTGGTGTAAAGCCTGTTTTTCATCATTCCCCCCCACCCCACCCAGCTTTATTTTCCTTCCAAAAAAAAAAAAGTTGCAAATAAAATTGTTGGGGTTTTTTTATTTTTAATTATTTTATTTTATTTGGGTTCTGTTGTTATGGTTTCTGGAAATATTTTTTTATAAACTCTCCT